CATGCCCAGATTGCCCAAGCCAGAAGGTGGTCATCGACTCATTGGCCTACTTGCAGACACGCTGAGGATGTACAACAAGTGCCACAAGAGGGACCAAGACGAGTGGCCTGGAGCGAATGTCAAGAGTTATCGCTACGCGATCGCAAGGAAGAGCTCTGAGCAAGCGGTTTGGACGCAATCTGTCATGGCTGAAGCAAGTTTGGCGCTAAAAAGACACGCGGCCACGGTCAAGCTGGATCTCAGAACGGCGTTCGGGAAGATACCGCATGCGCAGTTGTGGGGGATTGGGTGCAGGCGCGGTTTCAAGCGCTCCAAGCTTTCATTGCTTCCCAAGTCGCATGCGGGAACATGGGCCATCGTATTTGGCAATGTGGTCTGATTTTGTTACGAAGAACAATGGCGTCATTGCTGGGTGTTCTTTCGCAGCCGCAATGGTGATGTTATTCACGCTTGGGGCTTACGAGCACATGTGCGCGTTGTGGCCGTCTCTCAGCACTGCGCATGTCGTTAATGATGGCAGCCTCCCCGCAACAGGTTCCCACGATCAAGTTCTGAGACGATCAAGTTCTGAGAACCATCGCCCCAGCGACCAGACGGTTGCGCGCTGAGTTAATGGACCTAGGGTTGGAACTCAGCCCAAACATAAGGCATGCTATTGCCGCATCGCCCCAGCTCGATAGAGAGACAGTCATCACGCTCAGGAAGTACCAGATCAGGCGACACAGAGCAGTGCGGCAACTGGGGCATGGCCGCTCCATGAGACGCGGCGCGACAAGGCCAGTGCAGCGAGCGCGGGTCAACGAGACATCCAAGAGGATTGCTAGATACCGTCGGCTGTCACTTGGAGGCAGGCAGTTGGGCAGCTTATTTCGTGGTGGTGGTGGCTTGGCTTCACTGGCGTGCGCGATCAAAGTGAAAGGTACAACTGACACGCAGCTCAAGCAAGTGAGGGCCATGGCTGGACACACACTTGTTGGAACTGCACGGGGGAGATGCTGCACCATGGAATTTCAGCTGTCAAAGTGTCCAAGAGCGGACCCCACCTTTGTCGCGGATGAGTACCCTCTGGTGTATTGGCTGCGGGCTCTATGTGGGAAGTGGGGACGGCACAAAGCAAGGGCTCTGGCATGCAAGAGGGGGCGTCATCAAATCCAGTCCTGGCACGGAGTTCGAGGGCCAGCTGGTGCTGCCACCATGACATTGAGAAGGCTGGGGTGGCAAGCCGTGTCTTGGGATCGCTGGATTACTGAGAGTGGACTGGCGCTGGGCTTTCAGAGCTTGGGGCCATCTACGCTCACGAAGATCATCAATCGAGCTACCCAACGGCGTCTGATGGCCGAGATCCTCAGACGTCGTGGCATGGGGGGCCTCACGGGTCCACCTGTGCTGCTGCCCGCCAAAGGCCTCATCGGTGCTCTTCTTCGCCGAGGCAGTGTAAGAGGTGCTGGGTTGGTCAGGACTTTGTTATCTGGTGGGCTTCTCTGTCAGGCGCAGCTTTTCAACGCCAGGGCGGTGGAGAGCCCTCTATGCGTGATATGTGGAGTTGAGGACGGCATGGACACTCATCGGATTTTTCGGTGCGACTGGCACGAGTGGAGATGCAGAGTTGGACGGCAGAGGAGCGTAGGCTGTTGTTGTGGGGTAGACGCGAGCACGGACAGGAGCATCCCATCACCATGCTCACGTGCAAGGGGCTCATGCCCGATCTCACCTTCGACTCGCCCTTGCCGACCACAGAGGACATCATCATCTGGCACGTGTGCACAGTCAGCGGGCTCATCAGTGGTGTGGTCTGTACCGATGGCAGCTGCGTGTACCCACAATCCGAATTTCGGGCTCGTGCTGGCTGGTCCTTCGTCATGATAAATGGGGTGGGTGATACGGTTGCGGCTGCGTCGGGACCACTGCCATACCCGTGGCAATCATCAAGAGCTGGGGGGATCTGGGCCGTCATCAAGGTGCCGAAGCAGAAGCCGGAAGGGCGAATCACGATCGTGACGGGCTACAAAGACCTCAAGCAGGCATGAGTAGAAGGATGCCTTACGGTTGCAGCTCCAAGCATCAGTACATGGAGTTGTGGAAGCCATTCTGAGGCGTCGTGCTCGACACTGGCGTCTCAGAGGTCCACGTGGTCTGGATTCCCTCGCACATGACGAGGGCGCAAGCCAGCAGCCGCGGCGTGGACGTCTGTTCCTGCCCCCTCCTCCTCCTCCTCCTCCTCCTCCTCCTCCTCCTCCTCCTCCTCCTCCCCCTCCTCCCCCTCCTCCCCCTCCTCTCCTCCTCCTCCTCCTCCTCTTCCTTCTCCTCCTCCTCCTCCTGGATGGGAAACTGTGCCGCGGACAGGCCTGCGAAGCCGGGTGCCGCCCGCCGCCCTCGTCAGGCGGCCGCTCGAGAAGCTGCGAGAACGCAGGGAGGCGGCAGCCCCAGTGGCCCTGAGAGGCGCGCCCTTCGCATCCCCAGGCTGTGCCAAAAAGGGGGGGCGGAAGGGTGTGCAGCAAGTGAGCGAGGGAAGGCCTGTGCGCGGCCCTAGTTCAAGGGGCCCAAGGACACACAAATAAATACACACAAACAAGAATCTTCCCCATATTTCCCCATATTTTCTGGGTTTCTGACTTCCCCCCCACTTTCCATATTTTCCCATATTTTCAAGGGATTCGAGGATTACTTGTGTCTGTGTGTTTCTTCCCCTCCTGACTAGTCTAGTCCTAAGTGAAGACGGGGGCCACCGAATTCAGCGCTTCCAGGGACGATGCGTGTGCGGCAGGTGCGGGGATAGTCGAGCTCGTCGTCGGAACCTGGCTCTGATTCCGTGCCCTGGGGACCCCGAAGGGGTCCGTGAAGCGCACCCGTCCCGCAAGCTCTGGAGGACTGGTCCCATGATTTGGTGTCTTGAATGCGCTGCTAGGTGTGTTCCCAGGGCCCTTTTGATCTCCGAACCTTGTCTTCGCAGACCGCCCCTGGGGTCCGCGAGGCACTTCAAGCGTAGGTACCTCATCCAGGGGCGGGGTCCGTCAGGTGAGAAAGTGGGGAATAGTTTCAAGAAGCCTGTGCCCATCCTCGCTCGAGGCGTTGCGAGGGAGGCGGGGGATCTCGGCCGTCGCTGGCCAGAGCCAGCATGCACCATCCCTCACCGCGGGGACAGCGACACTGATTAGGCATTTAGGAGCAGGCTCCATATTTGTCTGGGTGATGGTGCAGTTGTGGGTCGGGTCCTGTGCTGGGGCTGCCCCGAGGCAGCTGCTGCCCTGCCCTGCCCACCTTTTGTTTCTTCTCGTGTGTAGTAGGCCAGAGCCTGCAAGCAGCATCCCTCAACGCAGGGACAGCGGCATGATCGGGCACTTAGGGGCCTGCTCCATGCTTGTCTGGGCGGTCACAAGGGCTCGCCCAGCCTGTGAGCGCAGAAGCGCTCGAGGCGATCGGTTCCGGTCGTCTCTCCTCGCCATTATCATTATCGTTTTGGCCTGCATCGTTCTCGGCACAGCTCGTCGTCATCCAGAGTCTCCAGAGCCTCCTCCTCCTCCTCCTCCTCCTCCCCATACTCCCCCTACCCCTACTTGTTACGTTCGACCAACGTGAGGAACTAGCTTGTCGCGTTCCCCTCCCCCTCCTCCTCCTCCTCTTCTTCCCTCCTCCTCCCCTCCTCCTCCTCCTCCTCCTTCCCTCCTCCTCCTCCTCCTCCTCCCCCTCCTCTCCCCCTTCCTCCCTCCCCTCCCCCTCCCCCCCCCCTCCTCCTCCTCCTCCTCCTCCTCCTCCTCCTCCTCCTCCTCCTCCTCCTCCTCCTCCTCCTCCTCCTCCTCCTCCTCCTCCTCCTCCTCCCCCTCCTCTGGCTCCCCGCCATCGGCCAGCCCCCTTCCTCCGCCTCCCCGCGAGCCCCCGACCGCCTGCCCCGCGAGCAGCTTGCGGAAGTACTGCCCGAACAGCTGGCGGCTGCTCGTCTCGCACACGGCGCCGATGCCCCACACCGCCGAGAAGACGGCGTAGCAGTCCATCATCGCGGTGATGGCCTTGCCACGGTCGGGATCTTTTGCTCATCGGGCGGGTGGTCATGGGGGGTGACCTGAACGCGGGGTGAAGAAAGATGCCCTAGAGGGCCCCTGTAGGGCCTCTTTCTTCACCCCCCCTTTGGGTCACCCCCCATTGCCACCCGCCCGAGCTTAGCGTGTCGCGGCGGCGGCCCCGGCGACACGCTGTGCACTGCGAGCGGATAGCGTGTCGCTCCGCTCCGTGGGGCGGGATGCCAGGATAGCTCGGCACGCTGACGCTTGGGAAGGGGGACGCGGATAGCGTGTCGCGCCCACGCTGAGCCAAAAGTCCTGGCCGAAAATTTGTCCCTCGGCCCTCGATGAAGAAGGTTTTCGGACGTTGTCGGTAAGTTGTGTCACGTTCTTACATGTTATGGACCTCTGGGGTTCTCCGAAGGCCTTGTGGGGACCAGCATCCGGGGGGGCAGCAGGACTTACCCACCGAGGGGGCCCCCTCCTCATCATCCTCGTCGTTGTCTCCCTCCTCAAATAATCAAGACGGAGGTTTCTCGACGGCCACGCTGATATTTTGACTGGAATCGACTTTGAAGGCGCCAGCTTGGCAGAGGTCCCAGCGGGATGCAAAAGGGAGCGTGGCGCCCCTGGCCGTCGCCAATCTCGAAGCTTTCCAGTGTCTCCAGATGCGACTGTTGCGGGAAGGGCGGGCGCGCCCTTGACTGACTACCCACCAGACCACCCTCACTCAACCCGAAGACCCGAATTTCGGGTTTGGGGGGGTGGGTACGGGTTACATATGTGTTTTTTTCAATGTTCCCCGACCCCCCCCCCACTCTGGAGATGGAGGGCAGATTGAGGCCTTCGGGTGGGGTTGGGGTGGCTTGGTGGGTGGTGATTTACGCGGGCCTTCTTGTCAGCTATCTCCTGCTGGAAGCGCTCATCCTTGAATCCAATGGTGAGGTGCGTGGTCAGCAGGAGCAGGAAACTCTGCACCATTCCCTGCTCCACCGTCGGGGACAC